AGATAGATAGATAGATAGATAGATAGATAGATAGATAGATAGATAGACAGACACTGACTGATTGACTGACTGACTGACTCATTAACTCATTCACTCACTCAACTTTTTCTTTGTTATGTGGCACTGGTTAAATAATAAATACTACAATGTTTTTCTCCACAGCTTCCTTGAAATTCCAGCTTATTTTAACACTGATCCTTCTTGTCAACTTCTGCTTTGCCAAATTTGTGCTATTTCCTAAGTTATTCTTCTGATAGACAGACAGATGGATAGAGTCCTGAGCCCCTTCACACTGTTTCTTTCCAACATTTTATTGGGTTGAAAAGAGTAAAATGACATTTACACAATGCAAAAACTAGGAAGCAATTAAAATAATGACTTTCATATTATTAAAGCTTACCACGTATCTAAGATTTAAATTTTCTATTTTGCCATAACAAACATCCAAAAGGGTTATCGGCTGGACAACAAGATTCCCTCCAGGTGTCCAAGGCAATGCAAGTTTTGACAGATCAGAAACCTGAAAGAAACACATAGTAGGATATTTTAAAACAAGTATGTACACTGAATTAAATACATAAACTATGATGATTTAGACTGGCTGAATTAAATTAAATTAAATTAAAGAGTTAAATTTTACGTTTATAAATATGTACAGGCTCTAAAAACATTTCCTTCTTTTAATTATCAAAATGCTTTATTTCATTAATGTAAAAAAATTAAAGTTAAATTTGCATGTAGCTTTTTAAATCAAAACACTAAAAGCAATTATTCTAACAGAAGGTTACCAATTAACCACTTCCACTTATCTAATTTCTTATTAACTTCTAATTATGCCCATTTCAAAGTAATCAATCTGAAGCAGACCCAAATTGTTCCTTAGAATTTTCGGCTTCATTATTAGCTTTTTAATAAAGAGAATATCAGCACTAGTTCAGGAAATCATGCTTTCTTTTTACCCCAAACTGTTTTTCCCCCTTTTATTTGCAAGAACTAGCTTTCTCAGAAACTAAATAATAGGGGAGCATATTCTGGAAGTTCTTGGATACACTTGCAAATATTAAGAAACTCAACTGGAAAAGGTGACGTAATACCTTTGCCCTTTATGGAATGTTATCTAGGACCACTGCTTTCTATTGTTTAATTCTCATGTCTAATTAATGACTTTATTTGTTTGATTGACTGCTTTCTGATGGATCACATATCCTGAATTTAATACTTTTTAAATCTTATATAGACTTAATACACACACACACACACACACAAATACACATCATCTTAATAAATGTTTTTCAATTTGCCTGAAATAGTCATGATTTGTGCTGTTGGGAGGGGCAAAAAGTCACTTTATTTATTCTTCTTTATTTATTTGTATCCAGCCTAAACTATTAAGTTTTACTATCTATTATTTTATTTTACACTTTGCAAAATTAAGTCTCCCTTCCAAATGCAGGGATCAAGCTTTGTGAATATCCCTGAAGAGATATGATAAATGAATCATAGACAAACCATTACTATGACATCTTGATACCACAGCTTTGCAAAAGTTTATGAACTGATCAAGTTATACAATACAGTAATAGGAAATTTCTCCCAGCGTGAATAAAATCCACATTCTTACACTGTATGAACATTTTTAAACTTCTGAAAAAGCAACATACTTACTTGCAGTTAAAATATACAACTTTTCAGTGTATTCTTTTAGTTGTCTTATTCATAACCCTTTAATCAGTGGAGTAAAGTCAAATGGCAGCCTTGACCTCATGGGTGAAGACCTGGCTTCTTTTTACATCAGTGCAATGCATTACACATATATTAAAAAAGTTTAGAACTTTGATCACACAACCTCAACCACCATCTTGACTTTTTTGACAAACCTAACAGATGCCCCATGTCCATTAACTGAAACAAATTCTTCATATAAATAGATCCCTCATGCTATCAAAACTCACCTGCTGATTTCTCTGCAGTTTGTATCTCATTGCCTGGCACATCTCAATAATTTGAAGAAGTTCTGGATGTGGAATGATTACTTTCGATGCAGTTCCTTCTGTGCTAAGGAAAGACCTATAAATATTTGTATTGCATTAGAACTGTTAATGACAGCTTTAATTTATTTTCATGTCATATTTTTCATAGTTAGACAGCATAAATCTGTACTTCCCTTCTAAAATTTCAGAGATTGAATACCATAATGTTTAATTATAAAGCTGATTTTGCAATAATGAAGTTATTCATTAAAAACAGTTTAAAGTTCCAGGTAAATGTTGCCAGAGTAAAACCAACACAAATACAGATTATGGAAACATATTTGAAAACTTCTCTTTGGAAACACAATTTAAACTTCTCTTTGATTCACTGTAATAATTAGGAATCAACATGTTCCTTTTATACAATAGGCATGTTTTCCAACCATATAGTGCAAAATATATTAACTAGCTATAAAGAAGTTTAGAAGTGACTTTGGGACTTGGACAAGAGATTACACATTAATTGAAGGAAGTGTTAGAAGGGAACTCAAAACAACCCCAACTTGATTTTGTTTTACACTGAGATGAAACAGAGAGAAATTTGAACAAGCTTTCATTTCTGTTACTATATCCTGTAACAATAAAGTAGCATTCTTGGAATTCTGCAATGTCTGCTTCTTGACCTGGTGATCCTGACAGAGCCTAAAACAGCAACAATAGACTTCAGTGTCTGAAGAGTTTAACCATGGAACCCAAGAGCTCTGGGGACAGTCTACACAATATATTGGGGTTACTAATTTTCATTCTACAGCTCAATGCAAATTATCCTAGTCTAATGGTAAAGGCATTTCAGAAAACAAGAACTTATCAAATTTCAGTCCACAAACACATTTCCATAAACAGTGATCTATATCTGTCAACCCAGAAATAAATCACTACATCCCAGAAAGATCACTATTTTTCTCAAAACTCATATCAAACCGAAAATAGCTTGAAAGTAAATGAAATTTACTAAACAGCAAGCAGGGCTGTAGATATTTTTTATTTTATAAAGCAATTCACTGTATCATATCACAGCCTAAAACTGAATTCTTCTTTCTCTTTACCTTTCTCTTTTCCATTTATTTTCTTGAAAGAGTTTCTGATGTAGCCAGGGCAATGTTGGCACTTATCTTATGAATATCTTATCACATAAACTTGCTCATTTCTTTTGATTACCAGGTATTGCCCTTTTCAACATCCCCTTTCCCTTCTGAAGTGTTAGTATATGTTCTGCACCCAGAGTCAATAAGATAAACTGTTACATATTATTATTTATTCTTATTAATAATAAACATTTTATGCATTTCATCTAATAGTTGAGTGTGTGTGTGTGTGTATGCATATGTGTGTATATGTATATGTGTGTGTGTGTGTGTGTGTACATATATATATAGACACAGACGAACACAATACAGAAGCCTGATGATGGCAGATGAGATTCTGCCGAAACGTTGCTACAGCTTTAAAAGCACAACTATGATGACGTGGGAAAATACCCGAACAAAGCTGAATACCATACATACATACATACATACATACACACACACACACACACACACACACACATATTCAAAAAGGAACAGAGACAAAAATGGTTTTTTTCTAACTCTACCTTATACTTCTACAAACCAAATATGTAAAGCTCCACGAATATTTCTTGAGTCTTAATTAATGGTTCATGCATTGCCTGGGCCATAGCTATTGTATATTATGACCAAAATTAACTAATACCTTATTAACCCAACCACTGAATTTTAAAAAAAAATCACAATAAGGTAAATGGCAGATAAACACCTTTGGTGGGAACATTCTAAGGGCTGGATTCCATTTCTTCATAGATAAAGGGATAAATATAATAACCTACTAAAAGGATTATAATGAACAAAGGGTTAAACAGATGTTCAGGAACCACAAACTGCAAAAAAAGCAAGTACAATCTCAGGCTTCAGCAGCAGCAACACAGTGTCAAGGTCAAGAAAAATACTTCCTTTACCCTGTATTCATCAAATCACACTTTGTATCCATTTCTGAGCATTTTATTTTAGGAAGGACATATAGCTGGTTAGGAGAGCAACCAAGATGAGGAGAGCATTAGAAGAAAAACATAGTTAAGTTCTTGTTCCCCACACAAAACACAAATCTTACACGTGGAACCAGTGTCTAAAACCAGCCTGCATGGAACTAATTGCATGATCATTATCATCCTATTTTGTTTCTTGCAAATCTATACTTAATTTAATAACTACTAATAGCTGGAAAATTATTTAGGAAGGTTTCTATACAACTTTACATTAGCAGTGGATAATCAATTCTTGTGCGTGGCTTCATTCTTGTTTGCACTAAAAATTCCAATCTAGCTAAACCATGTCTGAAAGTGTTTAGCCAAGTGAAGTAGGGTCAAGCTTAGTTGTGTAATGTTAGTGAATCTATGATTTATTGCTAGGCCCTGATCTGGTAACTTGACACCTATGAGAAGGGAGATCTCATATCAGCAAAATACTAAATAAATGATGAATGGATTCCATTAGTCCTTTCTGTTTTAGGACACAACATCAAATGTATGAACCTCTATAATAATACGTACTGTGTTTGTTTTCTACCTACTAAGATAAACATGCATGTCTACTTCTTTAAGAGGCCTGTCCCCTTCTTTTAATGTTCAATATACATAAACCTGTAACAAGCATTTCCATATCTACTTCATTTCAAATAGTGGTGATATATAGTGTCTTTCCACTGCTTACCTAACCTTGTCAATAAGAGCTTCTAAAGATGTGTTTAACTCCAACATAAGAACAGCTCGGGAATTTAATCCTTCTGTAAGCAGCACCACCTGAAAGGGAAATAAAAAACATACAGAGAATCATCCCTAAAAGCATTTCTGCTTTCTTGTCTCTAAGCAAACTTTTTTTTTCCTTTAAGAAATTGAAAAGAACATTTCCTCATGATATCTGTGAATAGAAGAAAAACATGAGGTTTAAATGGGCACAGTACTGCATCCGTCATACAATCTCAAAAATATAAACTATCTGTGGTGGTGCAGTGGCAAGAATGAAGTGCTGCAGGCTAACTCACTGCTCATTCCAGGAGTTCAATTCTGAATGGCTCAAGGTTGACTCAGCCTTCCATCCTTCCAAGATGGGTAAATTGAGGACCCAGATTGTTGGGGGCAATATGCTAACTGTGTAAACTGCTTTGAGATGGCTGTAAAAGCACTGTGAAGCGGTATAATAGTCTAAGTGCTATTGCTATTTTCAGCCTAGATTCTTCCACATGTCCAGACTTTAATTCCACCAATTCCCCACTAGGGTGGCTTTTGCTGGCACTGTGGTTATTTTTAAATACATGCTGAAACTTGGCACTGTCACAGGTCACTGATGCATACAGAGCACACATACACCAAAGATCAACCCTGAGCTACTGTAATAGTTTTTGCATTTATACAATCTCAATAGTTTAACAAGGCATTTGTATGCTTCATATATTACAGATAATCCTTGACTTCTTATCATAATTGAGCTGGGAATTTTGGCTGTAAATCATTGAAGTCATTAAGCGAGGTGCCCACGACTGCTTTTCTCAATGACTGCAATTCTAGCTGTCCCCATCACAATAGTTAAGCAACCATGTAAGTCGTTTAATGTCTATGCAGAGGTACCTCAAGAGTGGGAGGGCCTGGCACCATTGGCACCTGTAGTACATAAACATCCCTCTGCATAAAGCCCAACTTAACACGTTTATTTACTTATTTATATTTCCTACTTCTAAACTGTCCATACTATCCATTCATAGATCCATATGAATGCTAATTTTCCCATAAGAGCTGTTTTTTAAAAATAGCAGCTTGTTTACAGATTTCCATACAGTCTTCTGCTTTATCATGTGTTTAATTGTTTTGCTCCCCTCACTCCAGAACCTCACTCCATTCAATGTAAACTTATAGTAGCAATGATCCAACACAGCTCTGCTGTTGTACTGGTTAGGTGGAAGAAATGCTGAGGATGAGGTATTAAAAAGCTCAGCAGCAGCACTTACAAGATGTGGAATATAAAATTAAGTTTTGCTCTCAAGATCAGAATACTCTTAAAATGTGCCCTTTGTTCCAAGTTTAAAATTCTCTAAATACTCATTCCATGATTACAATACATTGAGATTATAATATTTTTATCTACCTCTATTTAGATCATTCAAAACACAATTTCAGAAAAGTGCTTTTTAGATTCCTAAACATTGGCAGCTTTCAAATCTTTTATCTAAAATTAAATGCAGGTGTTTCACAAAGGTATATATAGTATTACCTGCCTTTCCAGCTGTAGTACTTGAGCCTTTAAAAAACTGACCCGTCTTTCATCCAAACATTTGTTCTTTCCTTCTTCTATAAGCTGTTCATATTGGCTTCTAAAATATAAAATATCTTTCTTAAAATAATTTCAAAGCTCACATAAGGCTGTGCTGACAACTACAATTACATTTTTGGATCAATTTTCATGGATGTGTTAAAAGTAATGTAAAAAGCATCACTTTTAACACATTCATTAAAATTGATTCAAAAATTGTAGTTATAGTACATGTTTATTATTGGGTCTCTTTTGAGCTGATCATTCAAAACTCCTACTACTTTTTTTCTTAAAATTGTCTACATTTTATTGTACTAAAAATAAATTGTCTTGTGGAACCTAGACTTTTTTTAAAAAAAATTGCTAATATCTTATTGTTTCCTAGTAAACTTCCTGTCTTTCTAGGGAAGATATGAGCTATTATACGGAAGATAAGTTTGAAGGTTCAAGGAGATTTTATCAGCTTTGTCTTAGAACTGGAGAACTGAAGTGCTGTAGGATATACACCAGGAGTGAGATTCTACCAGTTCTATCCAATTCTATAGAACCCCTTGTTAACTTTCTAAGCAGTTTGGAGAACCGGTAATTAGAAGCAATCTCCTTTTGTTTTTTTCCACCCTTATTACATTCTTGGCAGACAGCCTAGACTTACTGTCTCCTGAGCTTTTGGGGCTTGGCTTTCTTAAAAGGGAAGGGTTGTTTTAAGATTTTTACACTGCTATTGGGAAGAAATACTTCCCTGGACAATCAGCACTTCGAAGAAATAATTGAATAATGAAGCAAAGCTTTTAGTGACAGGGAACCAAGATGAGTGACATTCAGCAAGGCTTCTTGGCTAGCTAGAAAGATTGACATTCAAACGTGAGTTTACATACCCGTTCTGAGTTTTGGTCTAAAACTGGTTTTTGGTGAAGGATAATTCTGTGCTTGGTGAAGTTTAATCCTGTGTTTATTGATGGGATAATTTTCCCTATTCAGCTTCAACAAACAACAGCTACTGTTGTGATTTAATGATTTGTATTGTGTTTGAATTTTTTCCTGCCTCATGGTTTCTTTTTCTATCTGGGAAGGGGTCTTCCTCACTGCTTTAGTACTATCTGGCACTGTCCTTTTGGGGTATACTTCCAAGAGGCAGAATGCAAGCTTGGCACTGATTTTTTTTATTGTCTTTCTGTCATGTGACCGTTCCTTAAATCTGGATGATTTCCTTAGGATATCTTGTGAGGTGAGACCAGCTTTAGATGGTGCAAATGGATTTAAGGATTGCTTTTGCTGGGTGTGCTTTTTCTGGAGAGCTTAAATGACCTCTCTGCTAAAGGGTTTCACTTTGTGAGCAAGAGTTGGCTGCTTGGTAGTTATCACTGCATTTTAACTATTTTCATTCCTCAAAGTGCTCTGGCACCCTGCCTGATTTGTAACTTCTGCTTGCAGGTATTTTTAATCTAATAATTGGTATTTAGAGCAGCTTTTTGCAAGCAAAGAAGCTTTTTGTATTTTTGTACAGGTAATCCTTGATTTACAACAGTTCATTTAGTGACCATTCAAAGTTACAATGGCACTGAAAAAAGTGACTTATGACCATTTTTCACACTTATGACTGTTGCAGCATTCCCCACTGTCATGAGAGGCTGTCATGAGAGGCCAGGTGAGCAAGCCCCTTGATATGAGTGATGTCGAGTTAGCCATGTCCACCCAGTCACATGACCACAAAGCCACACCCACCAACTAAGCCATGCCCGCAGAACCGGTTGTTAAAAAAATTGAATCCCACCGCTGATATATACTGAATGTTAGACATTCTCCAAGCAGAATTGCCAATCACATCAACAATCATTTGCTATTTAATTATCAGTTTTGAGATTTGCTATACATTTGTTTAGCTAAGGGAAAGAGAAAAAAACTGCACCAGAGTGAATTGCAATGATTGTTAAGAATGAACTGCATCCCCATGTTGATAGAGAACATTCCCATATTCTTTAAACAGTTTCATTCTAATGTGTAATAAAGATTCTTATCAGAGTGTTTTTAAGTATCTTGTGTAAACAATGCCTAGTTCAAACTAGGCAACCTGAGGATTTCAGTCTGTTGATCTCTCAGAATCTTCTACCTCTATAGCTTTCAATATACCAAATCAGTTTTGATTTATATATAGCCAATATATACCTTAAGTCTTCCAATTCATTCTTTATTTTTATATTTTCTTCTTGCAGTTTCTAAAAAAACAGACCCCAAAGAAATATAAATTAAAACTGATGAAAACAGAATTCTATTTATAAAAATTTTAATTTTTCTACTCATACTCTAATGTTTCACAAATCTAGGCATGCTGAATTAACATCATCTTGAAGTACCATCATAAGCAAACATATTTCATCAAAAAGAAATACTTATAAATAGGAATACGCTATTGGAAGTCATTTGTCTTTTTGATACTTGTTTAACATAATTTTAATTCTTAGCAAGATGCTTATTAGGGAAACCTTAGTTAATATCATAAATTATTCCTTCAGAAATTATAGGATGCCTCATTTGACAGAGGCAATTCTTGGACCTCAGGCAAGTAGACAAATGTCTAACTTCCCATAGCTGGATAAAATAATTGAAAAGTGCTCACTATCTCAAATGACATAGATTATCATGACCAATTTAAAATTAAATTCAACATGAGTTAGACTGGTTAGTTATAAACAATCTGTTTTTTCTTGACCTTTCAGCATCTTTTGCTAACACAATTTCTAGACTTTTTGTGCTGTATTCAATTTCAGCTTTTGAAATTGTTTGCTTAAATACAAACTGCATGAAAGAGCAGCTATTCCATGGTCTCCAATTCTATATTCAGTACTTTTTAATATTTACAGAAAATCAGAGGGATATCATCAGACTATACTGATGACATGCACATCTATTACTCTGTAAAATCATTAAGCCACAGCTACTCCAATGCTCATTTGATAATGGACTGATATAAATTTAAACTAAAGATAAGACACACAAATTTATTTAGGAGATCACAAGTAGAAGAAGCAGATCATCTATCATTCTTTGCAGAGTTACACATGACAGGAACAAGTATGCTGTTTGGGTGTTTTTGAATCCAAAACTCTGTCAAATCTGCTTATTCTTTTGCTTTTGAAAAAGCCTTAAATACATGTTTATAAGAATGTTTAGCTATAATTTCTACTTTTTTTCTCCTGGTATCCTTTTGTTTAATTGTATCCATTTCTCAGAGATTGCTTGGCAAGGTTTTTCAGAAATTGTTTGCCATTGCCTCCTTTATAGGGTTGTGAGAAAGTAACTGGCATAAGGAATTCAGCTGGCTTTGTGCTTGAGTGGAACTCACAGTATCCAGGTTGCTAGCCTGATGTCTTAATCACTATGCCAAACTGGCTCTCTCATTTTTAAAATTTATAATTAATTTATTGCAATTTTATATTTGTACTGTAACCCATCAACCGATAGTTCAAACTATTAAAAAGATAAAAAGAAATAAGGAAATAGCTGCTTTTTAATGTTAAAGAAAGTTTTATAAATTCAGATTCTTCAGAGAGCACATATATTTTCTTGTTTTACAAAACAACTCTATTACTTGTGTACTTAGGTGGATTTCTGAATAATTGCAATGGTCTGATTATTTTACGCTTATCTCAAATTCTGAGTGCTAAGATAATGTATTCAGAAGTAGAAAGTTCCAAGCATGAACAATGAAGATGTCAGTTCCTATGTTCAATATAAAAACAGCACAGTAACTTGCTTGAATAGCAAGTCTTATTGTAATCCCTTTTAAACTCTGTACACAATTAAACACAACTTTTTTTAACCTTGTAGTCATTCAAATTCTTATGGAGGATGTAATGTTCATTGTTGTGCTCATCTTCTCTAAGCAGCCAATTATCATGATATACCGAACACTGAGGCAGATGATTGCAAGCAGAGTCCTTCGGTTTGGGCTTTCCAACCTATAGCACAAGAAAAAGATGAATTTATACAAACAGACATTAAGAAAAGAAAGGCAATTTAAAAAATAGGCAAGATGGAATAATACAACCATGAATGGTTTTTATAATTTTTTAATTCTCCAGACTTCAAATTAATCTCATGCCTCAAATTAAAAGGAACCACTTATAACTAAGTAGTTTCTTATTTCTCCTTATAAGATCTTTAAGACCTTTAAGAAATATGCAAAAATGTTTGTTACCACACTGCATCAATTAAGCATTTAGTAATAGCAATAGCAGTTAGACTTATATACCTTTCCATATAGTGGTTTACAGCATTTTCTGAGCAGTTTACAAATGTCAGCATATTGCCCCTGACAATCTGGGTCCTCTGACCTTGGAAGGATGGAAGGCTGAATCAACTTTGAACTGGTCAGCATCAATCTCCCAGTTGTGGGCAGAATTAGCCTGTGATACTGCATATTAACCACTGTGCCACCACAGCTCATTAAGGTACTGTATGTATGTCCATTATACTGAATGCATGTAATAGCCATTGTTTGCTTAAAATACACCCCCAAACCCTAAAACATTTCACATTTTCACTATCAATTTGAAATTGTTTTATATGACTCAATTCTAATTTTAAAAACTGTGGCATGGGAACAGTTGCAATAATTCTTAGTAAGCAAATAAAGATGTATGTAATATTATTCTAATGCACATTTTCAGAAACATAGCAAGTCAAACTAGCTTGCCCAATGTCCAAAAGCTATTGGGATTTTAAGGGTTTAAGCCAGAGGTCTTCAAAACTTGACAGCTTTAAGACTTGTAGACTTCAACTCCCAGAATGCTTCCTCCAGTCGTGTTAGCTCAGGAATGCTGGGAGTTGAAGTCCACAAGTCTTAAACTTGCCAAATTTGAAGACCCTTGGTTTAAGCAATAAATTTTAGCAGGAAATGAATTTTCTTTGATATGGCAAGTATCAAGTCTACAATTTCATTTTTCTTTGAAACTACTTTCAAAGTTATAAGGATCTCTATTAGTATAATTTACAAAACATAAATGGTTTTGTGCTGAAATTTTTTAATTTGCTGAACATTTATAAAAGTGAGCACAAATGCCACTGATTTTAGCAAAAAGTCTCACAGATATGTCACATTCATTGCAAAAAATAATAATAATAACAAGGCCTTCGCTTTCTGCACAGAATAGATCAAGCAATATCCAAAGCATCCATGTAATCTGAAAACAAAAATGCACTGCTTTAACACATGCTGAAATAACCAAAACAAGGGCTCAAAGAGTAACCTATATATAACTTGATAAAGAGCAAGGAAAAAAAGTGTTAAATGGAAGAATATTCTAATCTTTGCTTTTTCTTCTGATACTGCAAGGATTATTTTTTATTCTGGTGTCTCTTCAGATTGTGTAAATCTTTCATCTTTTACAGTTCCAATAGTAAGGAGAACCTGTAAAAATAGATATATTAAGCCTGAAAGGTTTCATCAGGAGTGGATAGGATTTCCTTCTGTACCTTACACCAGGTTGTAAATGCCCAAGCTTCAAATCCACTATCCAATGCCCATCAAAGACAAAGGAAGGAGTGCTCCAATAATCATATGAAACTCAGAACAATGATTTTATGTGAGTCACAAAGTGTTTTAAAAAGCAAAATACATTTTAGTGTAAATTTAGTCAATTTAAAGCATTTTTCCCAGTAGTAACTTCATTTCATATTTTTTTAAAAGCATACTACAGTATTTGAACCTGCAGTATTTTTAAAATTATTTCTTCTAACAAAATCCCAGATCAATGTTGTCTGTTGTATTATCCTGTTTTATAGAAAAGTAATGTGCTGCCCTCTAGAGGCATAAATTTTTTTATTGATGCTGAGAAGATTGTAAAATGACCAATTGTTCTTTCCTAAAAAATAAAGTAACACCAAGTACTTAAGTGTGTTATTTTTTCCAAACACCAATCTCCTTCAATAGGAAAGAGATCAACTGAATTAAAATTATTTTTTAAATATAATTATAAGCGCACTGTATTAGTTTTCTTTTACAAAATATAAGAAAAGCAAACATATGACAAAGTAATTATTTTAAGAGAACGTTTTGCATTTATATGGAATTCTGACTTTGGGAAACAGATTTAGAAAGCTGGTAAAACATCAAAGATCCATCAGTATAATAAATGCCACAAACCTTGCTTACTCATATAAGGGCAGAGATTGTTTTCAGAAAGGAATAACATTGTTTGATAAAGTTCCTATGTTTTTTTTTAATTGCCAACATATTTAAAGCAATATAAATGTAATCTCTACACATGGGCATCACTGAATGCATAATATTGGAATGAAACAGATTGTCTAATCTAATGTAGAAAAGTGCAGTCAGGACATTGTAAAGTACAAATTTTGGAGATCTATGAATTATTCATGTTAAATACCCTAGTTAAGGTTACAATCATAAGCCTCCCAAAGTCGCTTTATTAGGAAGATGGATAGATAAATAAATAAATAAATAAATAAATAAATAAATACCAGCAAGATAGCACCTGGGGAGCATACATTCAGAATATTATATATATATATATATATATATATATATACACATACATACATACATACATACATACATACATACATACATACACAAAGGATTTGGTTTAATTTATCAGAATTTTACATAATAAATTGATTACAACTAGTACCAGACAAGGCTGTTTTTTCTATTGTAAATTTAGATACAGATCTAATGGACCTAAGATTTAGGCATTTCATTTGAACATTAGTTAAGATGCTGGTTTAGAAACTAGGAGACTTATGTTCTGGACCTCTCCTAAGCATGAAAACCAGCTGGGTGACTTTGAGCCAATCATTCTCAAGTGCATACACACATACACACACACAAATATAACAAATTTGAAGCACAGGCCAGACAGTTGATATTTTAATATGTGAATCAGTGGTGGTATTCCACCGGTTCGGACGAGCTGGTAGCGGCGATGAGTAGTGGAAATCGAACCTGTTCTCTCCATCGCTCTGCTGTTAGGCCCACTGTTAGGTATAACATTGATACCAAATATGGTTTGGGTGAATAAATAT